TTTTTTTTTTTTTTTTTTTTTTTGAGTAGGAGTCTCACTCTGTCATCCAGGATGGAGGGCAGTGGCACATTCCCAGCCATCACAGCCTCGACCTGCTGGGCTCTGGTGATCCTTCCACCTCAGCCTTCCAAGTAGCTGGAACTACAGGCATGTGCCACCGTGCCTAGCTAATTTTTTAAATTAATTGTAGAGATGAGGGCTTGCCAAGTTGCCCAGGCTGGTCTCCAACCCATGGACTCAGGTAATCCTCTCACCTCGGCCTCCCAAAGTGCTGGGATTATAGACGTGAGCCACCGTGCCCAGCCTCGTATTCTAATTTTTAACTTGGTGTTAAAACCAGGACTAGACTCTTTATCATTTATACTTTACAAACTTTCTAGAATGCAGCTTAGCACTCTAGATATGGATGTGCTGTCATTTAACCAACTACCACTAGAGGGTATGCTGGGAGGATGGTGGCCATGTCTGGTTTTGCTCGTATTTGCATTCCTTGCATCTGACACTGGGCCGGGACTAGTCATTGCAGGTACTAAATACTTGCTGAATGAAGGAATTGCTAGCCATTTAGATTACTGCTGACTTTTTTGCTATTTTGTTTTTGAGTTTTGGTTAAAAATCTTTGCTTAGAAATCTGTCTCAATTCTGTTTTCCCCCTTACTCTGTGTCATTTTCTTCTAGGATCTGTTCAGCCCCTCCAGTTTGGAAAAAAGCCAATAAATGTCATCAAACCATAAGAACAAGTCTGCCAACTGCTTGGGCTACCGGCTAAATGAAGCAAGACCTGGACCTCTGAAGGGTAAAGCTCCAGTAAGCTCCTGGTACTTACCATAGCTTCCCAATTTCTTCTTGCTTCTTAAGCTAGGGGAAAAATATGAAAATATGAATATAAATGATTAGTAAGAAAAACATTCTGGTCATCTATAATAACAGGGGCCAAAGAGACTTCACATACTCACTCATTTAATTCCTTTCACCACCCTGGGGGTGCGTGCCCTTGACCCCATTTTACAGTTAAGGAAATGGAAGCCTGAAGAAGTTAAGTAACTTGTCTAAGTTCACACAACTGCTAAGTGATAGACTCAGCTTTGCAATCCAGGTCTCGCTGGCCCATGCCATCTTTGGTGATTCACACTGCCCTCTAATGGGGCATATTACCAACCATGGAATGTGTGGCTTCCTCTTCCTACCACTTTCCTTCATTGTCTACTGACAATTCTCCTGGCATTTCAAACACCTTCCTGCCCCGACTCTGTCTCAAGTTATCTTCTACCATTCTCTTTCATTGGAGCTTCATGTCTACTTAGAGGTCAAACTGATATCCTCCTTGGTCTGGGATCATGTGTAAGTGTCCGTGAAATATGGATCCTCTGGTATTCGCCTTGGTGCATTTAGCTGTGCTGTGTGGCTAGAACAGAAGCCAAAACCTCCAGGTCCCATAAGCCAGAAGAGTGGAGACTCTGGCAGGGGGAAGAGGAGATGCCCTGTCTTCAGAGGAGTGAAATTTCTCAGTTCTGGTCAGTTGGTCCCATGTGTTGCCAGATCTTCTGACTTTTCCAGAGAAAGTGGGGATAGACTTTTGTGAATAGTGGCACAATGTACTGGTTAGGAGGCAGACTGCACAGATTTCAACCCTGCAGCTACAAGTCAGTAACTATGAGACTTTGGGAAAGTTACCTAACCTCTTTCTTCATCTGTAAAGGGAGGGTAATAATAGTACTTATAGTGCTAATATACATGAAACTGTTAAAGCAATTGTTTGTCTTACAGGAGGTAATCTACACATGTTTGCTATTTTAAAATAAAATAACAATTTGCATTCCTTGGATCTGGCACTAGGCCTGGACTATTCATTGCAGGTACTGGATGTTTGCTAAATGAAGGAACTGTTAGCCATTTAGATTATTGATATTTTATCATAATGTAAAATATTTTTTAATGGAATATATCAAAATTAAAATCCTCAGAATTTTAAATGTTGGCAACTTAAATTAATTAAATACATTAAATTATTTAAAACAACAACAGTCTATTTGAGCCAAGAAAAAACATGTATACTGCCTAGATAGGATCTGTAGGTTGCCATTTTTCAAGATCTTGTCTAAAGAATTTGTAACATAATTTCAGCACTGCGTTAGTCTGGGATGGGGTGGGAGGTTAGTATCCAAAAGTCAGAAGATGCAGAATTTTGAAATTTTATTTTACTTTAAGATCTGCCATTTTAATGTGGGTGAATTTTCCCCCAACTTGTTTGGGGGAGGCATTTTAAATATACAGAAAAGAGATACAAACAATGAACGGCTAAATACACTCTACCTAGATTCAACACTTGTTAATATTTTGCCATTTTATGCCCTCTCTCCTCTCTCTTTCTGTTTTTTTTATTTCAATACCCCCTACACACAAAGACACGCACATTTTTGGCTGAACCACTTGACAATAAGCTGCTGATAGGAATAGGATGTTTTTTCTTGTAGTTGCAATATTATCTCATTGAAGAAAACTAAAAGTAATTTTCTAATATCATGTAACGTGTTGTTTATATTCAAATTTCCCCAGTTGTTCAAAAATGTCTATCATAGTTATCTTTTAAAATCTTTAAAAAATTTTAAAAGGATCCTTTAAGACCACTTTATCATATTTGGTTGTCTTTTTAGCCTCTTTTAACCTGGAACAGTCCTCAAGCTTTTCTTTTTCAGGAGAGACAGTTTAAATCTTCAGAAAAGTGTAGGCTGGGTTTGAGACCAGTCCGGGCAACTTGGTGAGACCTCATCTGTATAATAAATGAAAAAATTAGCTGGGTGTGTTGGCACATTCCTGTAGTTCCAGCTACTTGGAAGGCTGGGGTGGAAGGATCACCTGAGCCCAGCAGGTCAGGGCTGCGGTGGTTGTGAGCGTGCCACTGCACTCCAGTCTGGGTGACAGAGTAAGACTCCAACTCAAAAAAATTAAAAAAATAATAAAAGAAAATTGTAGTCTGGTTCATTCATTTATTTCTTTGTTCATTTATCCATTCATTCACTCAACAAACTTGTTGATTGCCTATGAAGTGTCAGTAAGTGAGCATAAGAGTCACCTGGACTGCTTGTTAAAGTGAGTCTTAAACACTGTCAGTCATTAGAATCAGCTGTGATGCTTGTTAGACCTATAGGTCTACACTGTTCATTATGGTAGTCACCAGCCACATGTGGCTAATTCAATTTAAATTAATTGAAATGGAAAAAAGAATAATTCAGTTCCTCTGTCCTACTAGCCACACTTCTTTGTTTTTTTTTTTTTGAGTTGGAGTCTCACTCTGTCACCCAGACTGGAGTGCAGTGGACACTCCTGGTCACCGCAGCCTCGACCTGCTGGGCTCTGTCAATCCTTCCGCCTCAGCCTTCTGAGTAGCTGGAACTACAGGTACGCGCTACCATGCCCGGATGATTTTTGATTTATTGTAGAGATGAGGTCTCGCCAAGTTGCCCAGGCGGGTCTCAAACCCTTGGGCTCAGGCCTCCCAAAACACAGGATTACAGGCTGAGCCACCGAGCCCGGCCTTAGCCACACTTCAAATGCTCAGTGACCACACGTGGCTAGTAGCTACTCTGTTGGACAACACAGAATAGAACATTTTTATCTTCATAGAAAGTTCTGCTATGGATGCTGGCTGCACTCCTGACCTGAGAAGTGTGTTTCTAGAATGTATCTTCTTAACACACCCCTTATCTGATTCTTATGAACATTAATAAATGAGAACCCTTGTTTTAAACTCCACTGGGGTTACTCAGTGTGAAAGAGGGATCCTGCCAGAGTATTCTATACTTCTAATAGTCATCCTGAATCAGGAAGCAGGTGAAAACTTGCAAGCCAGAGCATCAAACAGGTTCAGGGTCTAGTAAAAGATGAACTAAGGTGTTAAAACTGGAGAAAATGCTGAACAGAGTGGGAGGGCTGAGAAGGTTGGGCTGTG